GACCTGTCTGCATTCAGGGGGCTCAGAGGAAGAGGAGGTCAGGTCGGCTTCAGCAGCAGCCTCCGGAGGACTGACCCACGCCCCCTCCGCAGCAGCTGGAGCCCCCCGAGGGCTGGCTGCAGCAGTCAGCAGGTTTGTGGTGCCTGCGGTGGCAGTGGGCTCTGTGGTGCCTGTGGTGGCCCAGGAAGCAGCCGCCAGCCCCGGAGCTGGGGCCACAGCAGCCCCCGGAGGTGGGGCCACAGCAGCTCCCTAGGCTGGGGCCACAGCAACCCCCTGAGCTGAGGCCAGAACAGCCTCCAGAGCTGGGGCCACAGCAGCCCCCGGAGCTGACACTACAGCAGGAAGAGGCTGGAGGGCACTTTGGGGGACACTTTGGGGGGCATTTAGGGGCAGGACACTTGGGAGGGGGCTGGCACTGCTGCTGGCTCTGCTGGCAGGACATCTGGGCGGTCAGGGTTCTGGAACTGAGGGAGAGGCAGACAGCAGGTCAGACCCAGCACACGGGGGACACCCTGCCCCCTCCCTCCTGTGCTCTCAGCAGGAGTTCTTGCCCCTTTCTTTTGGTATCTGTTCAATGTAGACCTAGATAATTTCACGCCCAAAGTTTAATTTTTCCAATACTGGCCCAAATGTCTTCATATCCTCTCTTTTGAACCTCATGTTCTTTTTAGGCATTTTCAGTTGCTTTATAATTATAACGCCGAGGCCAGAAGGTGTAAAGAAAGCATTCTCAAAATCAAACTCCTACTATGTAGATAAGATATTCTACTGCACTTACACCACAAGAATCACAGACACAGTGCAGGGGGCATTTTGGAAATGAAATCATTTGTTTAGGACACAGCGGTTCCCTCTTGGAGGATTTCCTAGATGCCTCGTGGCGGCACAGAAGCTCACCAGTGCGAAGGGTGCTGGAGACTGACTGGGAGAGCTGGCTGGGGAAGGATGCTGTGCAGGCGGCCCCTGCACCCAGGCCTGACCCAGCCCAGCACCCAAACACTCTTGGCGGTGCTCATCTCCGACTGACTCCTCAGCACCAGCACTGGGCTGTGCCTGCTCTGCGGACCCAGCAGTCTGTGCACTGAGGACAGTTGTCTGGCTGTGACTTCCTCCCTCCGGGCTGAGCATCACTGCTCTAGTCTCTGCTCTTTCAGGAGGTGCAGTTATGGTTTCAAAGAAACGTCCCTGTTTGGGTCAATGCTGTAAATCTTATAGCCCAGAGACGCAGCGCCAACACATGGACCTGATTTCTCTAGCGAACTAAGTCACACGTACACAGCACCTCCACCTCATGTCCCAACCTTCCTCAATGTCCCTTCCCCCAGACGTGTTCTTTTGCTAATATGGACCAGCCTCACCCTCTTCCCACCCCCAGGGCCCTGCCACCTGCCCCGGCCATGTTCCCCATCCCTCTGGGGAAGACCCTGCTCCATTCCCAGGGATCCCTTACCGGGCACACGAGCAGCAGTGGGTCTGTCAGCACCTCAGGAGGGCAGTGGATGGAGGGGCCCTGCCCCAGCGCCCTTTTATCCCGGCCTTGGGCACTTCCCAGCCAGTGAGACAGGGCCTGGGCACGGGAGGCCCGCCTCCTGCCGCCCACATGGTCCTGTGACTTGTGACAGGTGATGACGGGCAGCTCCTCCCTCCCTCCCAACAAGGGCCCCTGCCCCCAGGTAGGAATAGGGCTCCTTAGAAACGGAGACAGGGAGAAAATTCCTGCCATTGTTCGACAGCTCTCTCCCTGGAGCCTTGCTTCATTCTGGAGTGTGAATCCCAACCTCTCTTTCCTTGTCGCCCAAATATCAGTTCAATGGCTCTGAGCAATCTGTTTTAAACCAGGTTTCATAGACTCTTCCAGCTCTTTCTTATCTTATATGTGAGAGTGGTGTGTGTGAGTGTGTGTGTGTGTCTGTGTGTGTGTGTGTGTGTGTGTGTGTGTGGGTGGGTGGGTGGGTGCACACACACATATCCTACCCCATTACTCTCAGCCTCTGGTATTGCCTGGTGTCCAGTCTTCCCTAAATTGTTGTGCGTCTTCTCTGCCTTGTTTCTCCGGTGTTCCCTTCCTCGGTGGACTGTTTCACATTCACGAATAAGTGCTCCAGCCACTAAAGGAAGCCTCACCTCTGGTTCCTCCCCACCCCATAAGTTCCAGTCTCTACCCACTAGTATTTGTGGAGTATGACATCTTGCTACATCTCCAGTTTAGGTTTTATTACTTCCTCTTAGAAAGCTTCTTAAGCTGAGAGTGCCTATTTCTTCTCTTTGAATTTGCTCCTTCATATCAAACTCTATGTTTTACTCCATGATTCAAGCACTTCTCAAACTGTGCTGCCCAAACACAACTTGCTGTGTTTTCCTTTATGAGTCTTTTTCTCTCCAATACACTTTTAAACTCTCCTTGAATCCTCAGCCTGGGTCTTCTGTTTCTGTAGCCCTCATCAGCTCCTAACACAGGGCTGGTCATTCAGTGGGTAATGAGTTCAAAAACCTATTCCTTACTATTGGCATTAACTTTAGTTTGGTTGCGATTTAAGCCATCATCACCAGAATTCTCACTCTCAGATATTCACGTCACAGCACACTTATCCCCCAGCAGAAGTCTGCCACTGAATTACCTGCGTATGGGCCCACTTTGTTTCAGAGTGTATGTAATGAGAGTGTAGCCAAGATACTGATTACCCGGCGCCCATAGGTAGTTCTGATTCAGAAGCCCAGCCCGTGCACTCCAAGGATGATCAGACTTAGAAGCTATTCTGTCCATGCCTCAGTCACCTCAAAGAGCAGCACCTAGAACATCAGTTAGTGTGACTTGGGTTTAGGTGGTAAGACAGCAGCATGGCGTAACACCCGGAGGACTGGCATTAGAGACCAGTGGCTGGGGCACTGTTTCAATAGAAACATTGTGCACTAGCAAAGGATAGGTTTTCTGGAAGAGTATGTTAGTTATGTTGTCAGGATCTCATAACCTCAGGAGCCAGGAGGGAAGAATGCTGAGACCTTGTGAGAATGAATTCAGAACTAGTGAATTTTACTGCACATCTCTATTTGTAGTAACAACAATAAATCAATGCTTCAAAGTTACTAGAATATGTACCTAATTGTTTCTTCATATACTAGTAGTTGGGTAAAATATTTTAAGTGTGGCAAAAAAAAAAAAAATAGACCAATTTCACCACATAGAGAACAAAATCTGTATGGAAGAAAAGAATCATAAGAAAAAAAGGATGGAAGCAAAAATAACCAGATGAGTAAAAATAAAATACACAGTCATTAAGAGAATTAAAATTCATAATAAACAGTAAGTTCTTACAATTTAATGGAAAATAAATAAACCTATTTACAAACTAATGGGTAAACCATTAAATTTTAGTTTATAAACAGAAGAACAAACAGTTAGGAAAGAAGTACAACTGAGCAATAAATTTTGAAATTTGTTGTTTTGCATTTTGGCATATCAATAACCAAAAATCTACATAAAAAACAAGGATGAGTTTTCAAGAATGAGGCTTATCACATTCGTTCCTTTGTATTGAACTTGGAGATTTACAGTAGATTTTAAAAAGTCAGTATTGTTGAACATGATCTGAAATGGATATTATGAATTGCTGCAAATAGAAATTGGAATATCTATCTGCATGGAAATTTAGTGTTCATTATTTAACAAATAATTACCGCTGTTTATACAAATAAAAATTTAAATTAGCATACTCTTTTATACAGCAATTAAATCTCTAAGAATGTAATCGAAGGATAAAAAATTGAGTAAAGAAAAATACGTGCATAGGAATCATTACTATAGGAAATTTAAATAATTACAGTTAAAGTTTGATAGAATCCAGACCTGAGTAGCACCTTTCAAGTAAGCCCACCCACCATCACAGACAGACCTAAGTGTCATCTGACCTAGGCTACAAGCATTCTCCAGCAGACACATCAGCAAGCCACAAGCCTACCTTTCCCCTGACGCCTCCCCTCAAAGAGCCCTGGCCAAAAAAATCCCTGGCCAAAAAAAACACCTGGACCTGTCAGAGACCCTCTTTTCCCTTTGTTCTGCTGGCCAGGACAGAGGGGTCCCTCTCAGGTTAGCAATAAGCCTGCCTGGACTGTCGAGTTCGCATCCCCTCTCTTCTTTCAGTCATTTCTAAGCAGGAAAAGATTGATGTGCATTGAATGGCATTATTTAGGTGCAGCAACTATGTGCAGAAAGAGTAATTCTTCTACTTTATTAGTGGAAATAGAAATTGACAAGAGCAAATTGGAGAGATGGGCACCATGTAAAATCCAACAGTTCCACATGTAAGAGCTTAGAGAGTCTCTCCAATGTACATGCAAGCAGAAACACACAAATTCCCATTAGTGCAATATCCATACACAAATGTGCCCGAATGCCTATCCAAAAGAGACATGAGGAAGAAATCAGGCTGTGCTCGTCAGATGGATACGACACAGTTGTAAAGATGAACAAGCTATGACTACATGGATCACCCTGAGTGACTCAGAAAGATAATGTCTAAAGAAGAGAGGAAGTGAGAGCTGAGCACCTCAAGTATGGTGCCATTTCTGCGATGTTGGAACCACATGCACTGTAACCCATACTGCGCCAGGGTTATCAGAATGGAATGAAACAAGAGGGAAATTGTTATAAACTTGGTTTAAACCAGGTTGTATGTAGTCATTAAATTAACATTTGGGAGGAAAGAAAGTAAGTGTTGGCATGGGAGAGGAATTCCAAGAATGAGAAGTGAGAGGACCCTCAAGGGAGGTGTCCTCAAGGCAGGAAATGATGGCAGAGATTTTCCTACCCACCCCATTACTGAGCATCCCTATTCCTGCCTGGGGGCAGCTGCATTGGCCCCAGGAGGGCAGTAGGGAGGAGCTGCCAGTCATCACCTGTCACAGTCACAGGACCATGTGGGTGTCAGCAGGCAGGCCTCACGTGCCCAGGCCCTGTCTCACTGGCTGGACAGAGCCCGAGGACAGGATAAAAGGGCGCTGGGGCAGGGCCGCTCATCCACTGCCCTCCCGAGGTGCTGACCGACCCACTGCTTCCCGTGTGCCTGGTAAGAGTCCCCTGGGTACCACAGCAGGGCCTTCCCCAGAGGGAGGAAGGCCAGACAGGGGCAGGCGGCAGAACCCTGAGGCACTACAGCCTCGTGGACATGGGGAGGGAGGCCTTAGGAAGACTGAGGGAGGGTGTGCGCAGGGGACAGGACCAACTGGGACTAGGGTAGGTGGATGGCTCTGCCTTTGTGCTGCACCAAGTTGAGCTCAGCTGGCTGGGCTGTCCAGGCAGAGGGAACAGAAGCACGGACCCTCTGGCTGCACTAGAACAGTTTTCACGAGGGGATGCGACCTTGCAGAGTAGCATCACCACCCTCCCTGCAAGGATGAGCTGGGGATAGTGGTTCTCAGCCAACAGAGAAAGAGCTCATCAGGGTGCCATGTGCTGACCACAGCCCACATCTCTCTGGGTCCGAACTGGAAGTGGGTCTCTGTTTAAGAAGCCAGACACAAGCTGGGAATCACTGGGCCAAGGCATTTAGTGTGAGGTCCTGGGATGTTGACAATGGCAGAGCATCAGCCGGGAACGGGATACGTCAGCTCAGGCTCCGCACTCGTGCAAACGGACTGTTCGTCAGCCTCTCCAGTAAGAAAGTAAGCAGGGTGGACAGCCAGCCTCCCAGGCCATTTACAGTCTGTGCAAGTGTCTACAGAGCAAAATCACATAGGAAGTGGCAATGCTTAATTTCCTTCCTTCAAGCGAACATTTACTTTCTGAACTGGGCTACAGACTGGACAGTTTACACGGTTCTTGTTATGGGAGAGATTATGGGAGTTTCAGGTTCCCGTTAAGGGCAAGATTACCTCCTTCACTTATTAGACATGTGATTATATGGCAGGTATATTCTGACAGATTTTTGCCACAGTGTCCTTCCTTGTAAAAGATAAAGTAATCCTTGCCAAACTTCAATAGACATTGTGAGACTCAAAGGAAATGGTGTGAGAGCTCATGGGTAACTACTGCAAATCATGAAACTCTGAGTGTGGAATTCCCAGGAGTGCACTGAACAGACACCAAACCGAGGGACAAGAACTGCTGAGAGCACGGGAGGGAGGGGGCAGGGTGTCCCCCGTGTACCGGGTCTGACCTGTTGTCTGCCTCTCCCTCAGCTCCGGAACCCTGACCGCCCAGATGTCCTGCCAGCAGAGCCAGCAGCAGTGCCAGCCCCCTCCCAAGTGTCCTGCCCCTAAATGCCCCCCAAAGTGTCCCCCAAAGTGCCCTCCAGCCTCTTCCTGCTGTAGTGTCAGCTCTGGGGGCTGCTGTGGCCCCAGCTCTGGGGACTGCTGTGGCCCCAGTCTAGGGAGCTGCTGTGGCCCCAGCTCTGGGGGCTGCTGTGGCCCCAGCTCCGGGGCTGGCGGCTGCTTCCTGGGCCACCACAGGCACCACAGAGCCCACTGCCACCGCAGGCACCACAAACCTGCTGACTGCTGCAGCCAGCCCTCGGGGGGCTCCAGCTGCTGCGGAGGGGGCGTGGGTCAGTCCTCCGGAGGCTGCTGCTGAAGCGGACCTGCGCCAACCAGAGCAGACTTGGGGCAGCAAATGGACAGACACTTCCACTTCCTGCTCTCCCTGGTCTTGCCTATGGTCCTGAGATGTCCCAGGGAAGGTTCTGAGCTCTGCGCTCAAAGTTTCATCTTCCCTGGGCTTCAGAAGCTTAGATCATCTCCCAAAATCTATGTGCTGATATCTGACACCCACTGCGTTGTCTGCCCTGGGATCCCCAGCCCACAGAGTCCAGTGCACTGCCCAGATAATCTGCTAGCAGTGGGCGGCCTCCAGTGAAACAATAAAAGAAGTGTGCCCACAGTTTTGCTTCTTGCCTGCCTATGTCCCAATATTCTTTCCACTTGTCTCCATTCTCTTGCCACCTAGAAACCCTGGGAATGAAGTATGTGTTAGTCACATGCTGGCACTGGGGTTGGGGAAGGGAAATGGCTCTGCCTCCAGCTGCCTCTCATGAGCACAGTGCCTTGGACCTGATTTTCCTCAGGGTCAGCCCCATCCGTCCTTCCATTCTGTGATACAGGCCCAATGCACCTTCAAATTTCTTTCTCCTCAGGCAAAAAAATTGTTTAGAAAACTATGCACAAAATTTCTGCAAGTAGACCATGAATATTACTTCATTCTAACTAGAAATATTCATATAACATGTGACAGATCATAAGAATTTGAAATGCCTGTAAAAGGAATCAGGGACTTAAAAAAAATCAGTCACCACTCCCTTTCCTATTCCTAAGCCCCAAGTCCAATATTTCAGGTGGAATATTTCATCTCCTTATTTTGTAAAGAAGTCGATTTTTCATCAAAATATTCTCAATGACAAATTTCACATGAGATTTAGTCATAGTTTTACTTTTAGTTTATTATGCTTTGAAAGTCTTATTATAAATTGGGTAGCAGCCAAACACCTTGAATTTATATTTGAGTCCATAAAAATATCCAGGTGTGCTGTGCAGCAGAAGCCCTGGAACCATGCAGTTCACACCTCACAGCTCCCTTGATTAATGTGACTTCTAGGTGTCTCTTTAGTGTCTTTAGTCTGTCACTCAAAATTTTAAGTCCCTTGAGGGGTGTCTTATATGCTGACCCTTGGCATATGGCCCCTCTTGTGCTATTCCAGGAAGCTGGAAGTAGGACATGTGCCCTTTGGTCTCAATAAGAGGCGCACAAACCCTGCACATACTGAGGATTCCTCCACAAGACTCAGTGAGCATGTGATGAGTGTGGAGTCGGCCGTGGCTGAAGTGACACAACCACCAGGCCATCTAAACAGGAATTCCCAGACAGAAGATCTTGTACCCCTGAGAAGCGTGATGTGTCCATGGGGACCAGGTGCATCTAAGGTCCAGGGCTCTCACCCCTCAGACTGTATGCTGCCTAAGGACAGGTGCTATGTGCGTATCTCAGGCCAGATTTCCTTGAAAAGCGGAGATTGTTTCCTTCCAAAGCCATGAATATTTTGTTGTGTATTTTCTTCTAGGAGTTTTTCACTTTTAGAACCTTGCTAGTGGATGTGTAGCTGGCCCACTTCCATTTGTTGAAAAGATTGTTGTTTCCTCAATGAAATATCATGACACCTTGTCAAAAATCAATTGCTCATACATTGATGGGTTTATTTCTGGGCTCTCAAATTTTTCCATTGATCTGATCCAATTAGATTCACCTCTGCAGAGTTAGTCTTTGAGGCAAGTTTTGGGGGTTTGTTCTGAACCCAAGAGGGAACAATTTAACCCTCACTTTCCTTGGTTTCCCCAGTGAACCAGCTGCCTGTGGGTTAACATATTGCTCTCAAGGACCAACAACCTCTTCTTGTTTTCTTAAGAAGGGCTAAGAGATCTTCTGGCGGTAGGTTTTTCCTCCAAGTAAGACTGTAGCCAAGTCACTAATTGTCCTGACTTGTACCCAAAAATATAGTATTATGATGACTGGCTTGTTAACCTAGACAAGCATCTAAATGCTTGGTTTCAATATCAGTAGAATAAATTGTCAGCAAGGATGGACTTAATGTTCCATTGTCCTTTTGTTCTTTTTTTCAAAAAACTTTTTTTTTTAATATTTTCTTCATCAAAGAGGTCAGTCTCTTCTGTGTCCCCCTGTCTCCAGCTCACTTGGGTAGGGAACCTGTGGTGGGAGGGGCAGTGCCACACAAGAAGATGAGAAGTCTCCACCCCAGTACAGTGTCCTGCTTATAAGCAAGAATGTCACACCAGGTGACAAGAGCAGGACTGGGTTCTGAAATAAGAATTACCTGTCATGGGAGTCATGACACAAATTTCCCAAATACTCCCTCCAAACTAAGTTCCTTGGCACCTTGTAAGTAAAATATCATAGTATTCAGGAAATGTAGTCAAGGTGTCCACTGTGCAATGGAGAAATGCTACCTCTCTGTAAGTGTCTGATTATGTCATGCCTGAGTTCATATCCATCTGAAATTAATCAAATCAGGACATAACATTTAGAAAGCATTTTGTAAACTGTATTTTTTTTTCAAATATTGGTGACAGGGATTTTTTTAAATCTAATAATTAGTATGTGCAGTGAGCTATCATGTACACTGAAAGTGAACAGAAGATATGTGAGACATAGCCCCACACTTGAATGTCTATAATTTCACATTTTTAAAAACTGTGTGTGATAATAAATTATATGTATGCAAGCATTACATACTCTGGAAGATTTTCTCTTGTCAGGAAATTTACAGATAAATAAGATTATACTGATCAAAGACCTGAATGTAAGTCATGAAACCATAAAACTCTTAGAAAAAAACATAGGCAAAAATCTCATGGACATAAACATGAGCGACTTCTTCATGAACATATCTCCCCAGGCAAGGGAAACAAAAGCAAAAATGAACAAGTGGGACTATATCAAGATAAAAAGCTTCTGTACAGCAAAGGATACCATCAATAGAACAAAAAGGTATCCTACAGTATGGGAGAATATATTCATAAATGACAGATCCGATAAAGGGTTGACATCCAAAATATATAAAGAGCTCACACACCTCAACAAACAAAAAGCAAATAATCCAATTAAAAAATGGGCAGAGGACCTGAATAGACAGTTCTCTAAAGAAGAAATTCAGATGGCCAACA